CAACTCAAAAACATGAATCAAACATTGATAAACAAGCTAGGGAGGATAATTGTTTTGGTTTCGAACAATTAATGGGCGAGTGATCATTTGGTTAAAGGATTGGAATAATCTACTCGTTCAGAGATTCGTCCTCAATAACTTTTCATAACAAGAGAATAAACATGAACAACAAATTAACGAGTCGTTTAATACATAGGCAATACAGTGACGAACAAGCCTATTTTATACGAGCCCAGATCGACCAACTCCTCTCCTTTCGGTTCTAAGAGTCGGTTAAATTAGACTAGAAGATGGATTATCGACTAGTCCGTTAGAATTAAAACATCAAACGAGAACAAATGATATTCAATTGTAAACCAATCATAAGTTGAAGTGTCACTCTTCAATAATAATCAGCATTCAAGCATGAAGATCAAGAACCCTAGTTTCAAATTAACTCGCATAAATTGAATGATCAACAAACACAAAAATCAAAATCGAATCCAAAACGTTGTCACCTATCCCTAGCAAAAGGGATTAGTGTAATATCCCGATATTTTATCGGTATAAATTACGTTTTAGTTCCGATATAATAATGTTATCGTTTATTATTGTCGGAATTAATTAAGTTCAGTCGGAATTACCGAAATCTATTTTCGACGCACCGTTTACGTCCGAAATAATTTTGGTAATTAAGCATTATGTTTAATTGAATAATTAAACATAAGGTAAGTGATTAATTAATATTAATCACCATCATTAGCATTAAGCCGTGGCATTAAGGGAAAATTTTCCCAATTTTTCCAAATTAGGGCCGTGAGTTCTTATGCCATAGGAAAGGTTTTTGTCCAATCATATTAGTTCACTTGTCAAGCTAAGAAGCTACTTAGTCATCAAGAGAATGAAGGAGAATTAAGCAAGTGGAAAGATGGGGAGAGGGCCACGTATGGGCTACCTCATCTCCCAAGCTTCTCGGCCATCTATATAAACCCATACTTAGGCAAATTTTGCTCCATTTTTCCCTTAAGATCAGACTCTATCTTCAGCATATGTATCTTCCCTTCCAACAGCAAATAAGTTCAAGTAAATTCCCCAAAATTCCAATACAATCGCACGACAACTTAAGGTTATTGCTCGGAGTGCACGCGAGGAGGAGGAGCGGCCGATTTTCCGGTGTTGATCGAACTATCAGCGAGGTAAATCCCTCCCCAACTCATGATCATGTTAGTAAGCTGAATTAAGAGTGAATTGTTCGGGAAATTCAAGTAAAGCATGCTTAAAACCGTACCTAAGTTCGATTGTACCTAAGTAAGTTCATGACCAAAGAACTCTTAATTTTTCCCGGCAACTTTTGAGCTATTGATGCCTAAAATGTTCAGTTTAGGATAATTGATGTTTAAAATGATCAACTTGCTGAGTAAAGTCAAGGATTGCCGGTGAATTGGCCAAAGCCGTCGCTAGTGCCGATCACACGTAGCTACGGGCGGCCATGAGGCATGATCTTATGAGTTGGGTATAAGTCATGAGCAATTCTGTTTCCTTTAGCTCTTATTTGATGTTTAAGGTTCAGTTAAGAAGGATCGGTCGGTATAAGTTG